AGCTCATTAACTAACAAAGTAATAAAGTAATAAAGAAGTGCTCTTAGGGCTAATAAAGCAAAAAGGTAGATATGGGGCTTTAGGGCTAGCATTTATTTTAACTTGTTCTTGCGATCCTCGATCTGGTCGATGCGCGATCGAGGCCAGCGAGCGATGGATTGGATCGATTCGGTGGAGTGCCAGGAGGATCGCCGCTATGGTTGTGTGGGATCCGGGAAGAGATCGCGAGGGTTTTCCAGGGGTTTCTAGGGTGTGGATGGCGCAGGGGGGAGGCGAAGCGAGCATGAATGCGATGGCGGGCATGATGCAGTCTCCCTCTCACGCCGATGGCAGCGATGGCAAGGACAAGGACCGCGGCGATGGCGCCCGCAAGGAATTTAACTTCTGGACGGACCAGGAGGTGTGGTTCTTGCTGGATGCGTACGAGGAGAAGTGGAATCAGCTGGAGAGGGGGAATGTCAAGAGCAAGCACTGGGAGGAGATCGCGCACAGGCTCGCCACGCACAGCAGTGGATTGTGGGTGGCCAAGACGCCCACGCAGTGCAAGAACAAGATCGAGGACATGAAGAAGAAGTACCGCGCGGAGAAGGCGATGAAGGGCACTGGAGTGGGCGGCGCTCCCGGATCGTATTCCAAGTGGGTCTTCTTCCAGAGGATGGAGAGCTTGCTGGCGAGGAATGGATTCAAGAGCGTGGTGGGGATGCCGGGGGGGATGGATAACGGCGAGCACGCACAACCCGCGGTGATGGAGCTGGATTCTTTCAACCAGATCGAGAGCCATCTCCACTTCCGGCAGTGTACTCCCGGGGCTGCCACCGCCGCTGCTGGAAGGATTGGCGAGAAGGAGATCGAGGACGAGGATACGTCCTTCACGACTCCACACCACCACGTCGCGAAGGAGAATGGGAGCTTGACGAGCTTGCTGGATCCTTGCTCGAGGGTCCGAGAAGAGGCAGTGGCTTGCCTGGATGGGCGGGGTGGCGGTGGTGGCGGTGCCGGCGGTAACGGTGGTGGTGGTGGCGGTGTTGGTTGTGGCGGCGGTGGATTCAAACGGCGGAAGCATGCCGGGGGAGCGTCCTCGATGAACGAGGTGGTGGCGGTGATGAAATCGTTTGGAGAGTCGCTGCTGAGAATCGAGGAGGCGCAGATCCAGATGCAGCGGGAGGTGGCTCGGTTGAATGCCGAGGCGGAGCTCCGGCGGATCGAGATGGAGGCCAAGCGAGCGGAGATGATGCTCAACACGCAGCTCCAGATTGCCCGGCTCTTCTCCTCCAACAAGCCGAGGAGGAAGAAACCGGTGAAAAAGGCCGAGAACGCTGGTGGTGGTGGTGGTGGTGGTGGTGGCGGAGGAGGAGCTTCACAGGAAATGGAAGATCCGTGAAAACTTTCGGGGTTTACGCTTCACTACCGTGAGGTACATACACAATTTTGTTTGCTCTCTCTCTCGGTCTAGCCGAGTTTTTCCCGAGCGATGGAGGACAGGTTCTTCTCCAAAACAATCTCGTGAGAGACAATCTCGCTCAAAAAAGCTTTCCTTTTCTTCCTCGAGCATGTAGACTTTATTCTTTTCCAGCGTGTTTGGTTACTCACACTCTTTTTTTTTCTTGTGTGTGTGGTGTTTCTCTCGCACATCTCCATCTCCTCTCGTAGACGATTCGATGGGCGATGGTTTGTATCTCTCAGATCTTCCGAGAGAGAGAGAGAGAGAGTACTACCAAGAAAAAAGATCAAATGCCTGTAACTATGTACTATTAAGAAGGAAAGTTACTCTCTTGTCACGAAACTAGAAGCCACAGGCCTGAAGACTCCCATCGGTGAGGTGAATGCTACAATCCTTCGAGCTTCCGACTGCGCTCCTTGCAAAGCAGCAGTTTCCACACGAAGCCGGATACTTTGCAGGCACGGGCGAGTTGCAGATCACATAATCGGCATCCGAGAGGCAGTACTGTGGACATGCTGGACAAAAACGAAGGAAAAAACTCGTCAAGCACAGCAAAAAACTTTGGCTAGCTTACCAGGGACGAGTTCGCATTGGTAAAAGACCAGCAGCAGCACAACAGCACAGGAGAGAGCGAGCTTCATCTTCCTGGAATGCAAATGGATAAGTTCCCACTTACCCGACTGATGCCGACTTTTATAGTTGCTGGAACTTCGCACCGGTCAAACGAATGGAAAAGAGTTCAAGTTAGACACGATTGCTGCGCGAAAATTCTCGCAGTGACCGAGAAGTCGTAGCAAGAAACTTGATATAACAGAGACACATATTAGTTCTTCCAAATACGAAAGTACCTTAAGACACGACACTATCAAATCTTGCAGCTAGAAATTGCAAGCAAGAAGAGTCCCATCCTTGAGGTGTATGCTGCAGTTCTTTGCAAGGCTTCCAATCTCTCCCTTTGCAAAGCAGCAGTTCCCACACGCTGGCGGATACTTCGCAGGCGACGGAGACTCGCAGATCACGTAATCGGCGCTTGCGATGCAGTACTGAGGGCAGACTGGAAACAAACAAAACGGTGACAACCTTAGCTAAACTGACACTGCTTACCAGCTGCAAGAATACATGGCGAAAGCGCCAGCAGCAGTACGATTGCACAGACGAGTCCCTTCATCATCTCACACTGCTATACCGAAGTTTTCGCCTGCCAGGAACTAGATAATCGTAGAAGAAGCCGGTTTCACCTTATAGACACGAAAGCTACGAGTGTATTTTATTTTTCCCACTGTACCTGAAAGTCAATTACAAGTTAGCTATCTGGCACATTCTCCACAGTACCTGAGGCCGGTCTCGTTCTAAGTGCTACCAAAAGTCGTCATGGAAATCTCGATCTCTCCCCCAAAAGTCGCGTTCTCTATCCCACGCTCTGTTATCCACGAAAGTCTCTTCCAAGACTGGAGGCGGCGGGGGAATCCCCAGGAACGACGATATCTCGTTTACCAGCCAATTCTTCTCCACCAGCTCCAGCCCCCCTCCGAAATCGTGGACTTTGACACCTTCCCTGATGCAGCACGATTTGATCCGCCGCCTGTTTCGTACCTGGGAAATGGACACAGGAGTTTGGAAAGGTGATTGGACAAAAACTCTACCCATTCCGCACAAAGCTCCACCGAAGTGATGTCTTGTGTCAAGCCTTGAACCCGATGTGTTCAGAAGTTTCCCACCTTCCATTCGATTGAGAAATAACGTTTCGTAAGCTCTATGAAAGTTGTAACAGTGAGTGCAGAGAGCGCGTCTTTGGAAAGACTGCAAGAAGCAAGCATCACGGTTTTAGCTGACAAAACTGGCTTAAAAATGATGAGACGTACCCATATCCAACAAACCAGAAAGGGATAGAAAAGAAAACGAATGGCAATGGTGCTCCGAACGTCCAAAGCAAGAGGAATGAATTCCACGCCTACAATACTGTTAGTTGAGCAACTTAGAGAAAAACGAAGGGAGTGACATACCAAAGCAAACGTTCCAGTAGCAGCAGCCGCACCAACACCTGCTCGAGGAATGCTGATTGTCAAGGAGTCTGGGAACCTTGTCAACACCTTTTAAAAGGAAAACGATTATAGAAACAGTTCGAAAAAGCGAGATACATACAACTTTTGTTCCATATGGCTTTCGACTTTTTGCAGCATAATCGAAAAAACTCTCCCCTGCCACAACGGGAGATTCGCCATCTTGAAGTGCCCGAATCACCTCGTCAGCTGACTGCATCCATCACACAATGTAAAGGAAACCAGAAAAAATATCAATGACCTGATATCTGTCTTCAGGAGCTGGTTCTAGAAGCTTTTCAACCACACGCGTCATGCTTGGGCTCGCAGAAACAAAGTTTTGGAAATCAACTCTCAGTCTTTTCTGCAAAATTTGAAAAGGTTAGAGATGGCCGAGGCTTTCTATGTTTTCCAAACCTGAGGAAACGTTGCAGGAGAGCGTCCCGAAAGCATGAACAAAAGCGTTCCACCAAGTCCATACAGATCAGTCTGCAGCGTGGCACGGTTTTGAAATTGCTCTGGAGCCATGTAGCCGTACTGCAAGGAAAAAAAAGAAACGCTTCAGTGAACAAAATCTAAAGCCTGTGTTCGATAAAAGGCTTAGACCTCAAAGAAAAAACTAGATTTGCGGAGCTCACACCGTGCCAACAACAGTGCTGCCGATAAAAGTTGCCGACGATGTTGTATCTTGCACGGCGCCAAAATCAACCACCTTCACTTTGCCAGTCGCTTCGTCCAATATGATGTTATCAGGCTGCAAAAAAAGATTCACAAAAAACGATCGTGAGACTTTCATAAAGTTGCGAAACGAACCTTGATATCTCGATGAATGACAGGAGGCCTCAAGCTTCCCAGATATTTCAAGACATCAAGAATCTAAAAGAGAATGTCACCGTTGCAACTACAAGTGTTTAGTTGCAAACCTCGATGGCGATGTCTTTCACCTCCTGCTCAGAGACTCGCCATCCCTCCTCAACTAGCTTGGCCAACGATTTTCCTTTTGCGACCTTCTGGACGATGTAAAAGCCTTTATCTTTCTCGTTTTCTATCTGCGAGCTTAGTATTCAGCTTCAACAAGGAAAAAAACAAAAAGAAAGAAGAAAGGAAAAAACAAAGAAACAACAGCAATACCTCAAAGAAGTCGATGTATTCGGGGATCCCAGAATGCTGGAGTGATTTTAACACTCTAGCTTCCCTTTCGAAAAGATCGAGATCCTGCAAGCAATGCAAGCATGATCACACGGAGAAGAGAAACAAAGAACTAACCTTCCAGCCTTTCATGTTTCTCAGAGACATGGCTTTGATAGCCACAGCATCGCCTTGTTCGGTCTCGGCCTCATACGTAACACCCACGCCACCGCTGCCAAGAACACCAACAATCCTGTATTTCCCAGCCACGACGTCCCCTTTCTCGTGGAATGCACCGATCAAGGGATTCCTTCCCTCGAATCCGCCGCTCCGATCAGCTGGCTCTCTCGAGATCCTGCTCGAGACGAAATCTCAGAGCTCCAGCCATGGAGGCACTGCTGGTACTTACTGAGCTTTGGCGGCGTGGCGAATGGAGCAGCAATTCCCGGCGATGACGAAGCCATGGCAGCAGCGCTCGCGAGCTCTCCCACGACGACAAAATCTTCGCGGAGGTGGAGTGAAGAGCGAGAAGTGCAAATTTTCTAGCAGCATTGCCACAAGCCCTAGGAAGCAAAAACAAAACTAAATGCTTTTACTGAGAGTCGAACTCAGGACCTCCCGCTTACTAAACGGGTGCTCTAGCCAACTGAGCCATAAAAGCTTAACGCATAAGCTCTGTTTTCAAACTATACTAAATAAAAATTATTTATTAGTTAATATTTTTATTTTTAGTTTAAGTAGAATATTCAATTATAATTTAGAATATTTCTCTGTATTTTATATTTTTTGGTTTGCTGTACCCATAACGGTGCCGCAAAATCAAAGCAAGACCTGCGAGATTCAAGTATTGAAAGTGAACCGAAACTTCCCTCTTCTTGTCTTGGGTCAGTGCGAAACAGATCTATAAAAACCTCACGGTTTGATATGATGGATCATATTTTGTAGCAAGCTGCACTCAAAATTTTGTGTTCAGAAGTTTCAGCTAGCCAATCTCTCCTACTCTGGAAATGGAGAGATCAAGGATGGTTCATGTGGTTGTGATCTTGGCCGTGCTCATCCTGTTTCTCCATGGTGCTGCTGCTGCCAGGCCCTTCCAGTCGGCGAGCACAGTGGATTCAAAACCAGCATCGTTGCCAAGCAGAGTGTTCAAGCGAAAATCTCCATCCATTTCACCAGGATCACCAGATAGAATCAATATTAACAAAGGAAGAACACCACCAAAACCATAGTTTAAAGCATTTGGTCCTTAAAGGAAAGGCCATGCTAAACCACTCTTCTCACTTTCACATCTAATATATCAACTTTTTTTATCTCAAGAATTGCACACACTAGCTACTGTACGATTGCCAAAAGTGAGGTTTTCTTGATAATCTGGAGGAAACGTCCCCTCTTTCTTCTGTGACAACGAACAGCAATCGCTTTCGTGAGATCTCCCTCATTCACAGCTTCAAGGCCCTCAAAGAATCTACACACAATTTTGTCAAGGTTCTTTGTTGATGTAAATGTGAATCCACATTTTACTCAACCGCAAAGTAACGACCACTTATTTGACCTTGACTAATTGACCACGAGCATTGACCCGCACCTGTAGCTGTAACGGTGCCGCAATCAAACGGAACGTCCGACGAGCATTCAAAGTCATATCTGATCAAACCTGAAAGTGGCAGACCATCTGAAAGCATGCGATTGTGATCTTTTCTGCGTGGTTTGCTCCCAGCGGCCATTCACTGATCGTTGTCAAGATATACGTTCACTGGATGTTTAGCAAAGTTTAATATCGATGTTTTGAGGATGATCTATTGAAGGGAGGAAACCCAGCGCCCAGAGATAATCTGATCACGGCCTAACAGCCTAACAAACTTTTCTGACTTATCAACTTTTTTTTTAAAGCTTGAGAAAACAGTGAGCACTGACCACTGCACAGCTGTTAAAAGCAAGTTTTCTTGTGGCACTTTCCTTGTTCCTGAACTTTATCATAATTTGATGGAAACATTCAGTGCCTTTATGCACCAAGTGTTTTGTGTACAGGAAGTTTTTGAATGGAAGATTATCATATTCTTTAACCTACTGAAGAACTCATTTATGAGAGTTTTAAAATAAAATACAAAGCATAGATATCATGCATGAGGAAACTGATGGAAACTTAAATTGCAGCACTCGGCAATACCTCTGTCCTCGAATCCGCTCCACTTGTAGTCAAACTTTCTCCACTGCTCTGAGCTAGCCTCGTACATAATGATTGCCGGCATCCATCGAGACACGATCCACACGTTGTCCAATTCATTGAAGAAACACCATGGCTTTGGTGTGGATTCAGCCACAAGCTCATCTCGCATGCTCTCCACGCTCAGCTGAAACAACTTGATCTTCGCGACTAACACTCTGGCCTTGAAAATGCCACCATCCCTGCGGAGAAGTAGTGAAGAGGTACGAAACCGTGGTATTTGCACAGAAAGTCTCCACTCTTCTTTCTCCAGGTCGTAAATCCCGTTCGAGCTCAATACTAAGTTGTCCCACAAGCTGAAAAAGCTTGCGGCTAGCGCCTGGTTGAGAGGCCTCCACTTTCGTGTGCGTGAATCGTAGAGACTAGCAACTGGAACCAAGTCACACGTCTGATCCAGCATCAAGAGCTTGAAATGATTCGAGCCTCTGGTTCCATAGATCCGTAAGTGCAAGTGTAACGGCGAGATGGATCGTGGCAATGGAACCTGGTTTGTAACTCTCATGCAAAGTTCTATACGATCGAGGAGCTTACCTTTAGCCATTGCTTCGTTACTGGATTGTAAAGGTGGACATGTCTAGCGTGAAGCTTTTGCCTGTCCAGGAAGCAAAGGAATCCCTGAGAGCCACAAAGCAGCGATAAATTTCGAGTGCGTGGAGGCAGCAACACTGGAATCGCAAGCCACTTCCTGCCCACGGTGTTGAAAGCCCCCAGGAAACCCTTGCTGTTGAGGAAGTAATCCACAATGATCCAGCGCTGCTGTGGCCCATGAAGATCGTGCTTGGCCAAGAAGGATTTGCAGCACAGCTTTCTTCTCCAGCGCCTACACACCGACCTAGCTGTGACGATCCATTGGAGGGGAAGCCGGATGAAAACCTCATCGAGGAGCTCGTCTGGAATGTCGCACTGTGACCTCCCCCTCCCCATAAACCCTCTGATTCGATAACAAGCTAGGATTAGGATCAAATAAACTTAAACAGAAGTTAATCAGAAAATCAGAAAAATCTATGATGATACCATTTACACCAAAGGCTTTGCTGCAAGAACAAGATCACCATTCTCAAAGCCACGTTTTTTCGACACAAAATCAAGAAAATACATCAGCTCTGTGTAACCAATGACTCAACTTTTAACCGAAGTTGCTCCATATGTAAACATGGTTGATCGAAATAACTTCATTGGAATGCAGGAGTATTTTTTATGGTTTTCCCTTCTGGAGATATATAGCTTGAATCACATTGAATCAGGTGAATGGTAGAGACTAGAGCAGCTAGCTTTTACATCCAAACATGCAAGCTTGCATTGTAGTTAGTAGTGGATTTGAAACTTAACCACTGACTGAAGGTATTTTGATTATTCCATTTTGAGATACTCTTGAGTGTAAAGAATATACTTAAATTATCTGGTTTTCTGCTGTTAAACTTTTCTTTAATTAATAATGTTATTTATCACTAAAAACATTTACTGCAATTTATTGTGATGGTTTACAAAAAAAAAAAAAAAAAAAACAGCAAGAAAAGCTGATCTTCACAGCATACACTTCAATATGTTCACCAAAAGCTTCCATGCTGCCATGTTGAATAAGTTAGATCTACAATATACTGCAATCCCCTCACCTCCACTACCTTCCTAGTAGTAGAACAATGCCCGTGGACAAATTAGTAGCTTCCAAGTCCTTGCTTTCAAGCTGCATGGCTGTATGAGATGCCACGAAGATTTAATATTAGACTGGCCAGGAAATGTCAACGTAAATCCAAGCTTCTCCAAAGACTGTGCTGCATCACCACTCGTGACTCTCCTTGTTGTGAGAAGCTAGCCACCTTGATCTGGAGTTCTGGATAGTCACATTAGCTAGAATGGAAGAGGGCAATATCAATCCATGGATTAATCTAATTCAGATAGAAAATATCCCTTTATCGTCAATTCCATGCTGTGATTTTATTCTTGCAATGGCGTTGTGCAATCAGGGAACTCATGGAAGCTCAACTCACAGCAAATGGCATAGCCAAAGTCTGCAGCTCCACTCCACTTGTTATCGAAGCTGCTCCACTGCCCAGAGCACGGCTCGTATCTGTAGATCGCCGGGAGGACTGGGCACACGACCCACAAGTTGTCCAGCCCATCGAAGTAACTCCATGGAATCATGCCTGAGCACCCAGGCGGCATTTCGACGCGCATTCTCTCTGGAGATTCTGTCACAAGCTCTTCTCGCGTGCTCTCCATGTCAAGCTGATAGACTCGGATCCTCGTGCCCACCAGTTTGGTCCTGAATACGCTACCGTCTCTGCGGAGACGAAGGGTTGTCGGCTGGAAATCTGAAATTTGCCCGCGCAGCCTCCACTCTTCTTTGTCCATGTCGTAAATCCCATCCTTGCACATAGCTAGGTTGTCCCATAAGCTGGTAAAGTTTGTGATCCACTCTTGGCTGCGAGGCTTCCAATCTCCTGTCTGTGAATCGTAGAGACTACTAGCTAATCGAGAGGGCAAATCCGTGCCATCTATCATCAGGAGCTTGAAATGATTCGAGCCTCTGATTCCATACATCCGGATGTGCAAGCGTGAAGTTTTGATTGATCGTGGCAGTGGAAGCTGTGGCAGTAGAAATCGAGTTAGCCTGGAATTGTTGAGAAAGAAAGGGATCACTCACTTGTAGCCATTGCTGCGTCACTGGATTGCAAAGGTGGATGTGATGAGTGGTAATCGCCTGCCTGTCCATGAAACAAAGATATCCACAGGAGCCACAAAGAAGCGAAAATCTAGTGTTTGGAGGCAGAGACAGTGGTATCTTGAGCCATTTCTTATCAATCGTATCAAAAACCCCTAGGAAACCTTCACTGAGGAGGAAGAAATCCATAATGATCCAGCGCTGTTGTGGTTCGCGAGAATCTTTCTTGGCCTGGAAGTATTTGGCGCACAACTTGTTCCTCCAGCGTGAGCAAACAGATCTAGCAGCTATGATAGATTGGATAGGTAATCTTATAACGATTTCTTCAAGTAACTCGTCTGGGAATTCAATTCTCCTTCGCCCCATGAAACCTAAAAGATAAGGTTTATCCCTTAAACCCCCTCCATTTATAATAAACTTATTTGAGTTTGTGAGTGTCGAACCTCTGCTTCTTCTTGGTGGGATTCGAACACCAGACTTGATGTAGTCCAGATTCGAACGCTAGACCGACCCTCCGTTGAATATAAATAAGCAAATTTTCAAACGAGCGAGGGAAAATATTTTGGAGGACGAGGAGCTATGGCGGCTCGCAAGGCGCTGTGGAAGTTCTGCTCTTGCTCAAGGGAAGAGCATCCGGATGGACGAATCTCGCTTTTCTGCAGGAAATGCTGCCAGGCTTTCTGCGAGCTCGACGCTGCCGAGCATTTCAAGAGCTGTGATGGAGCGCTCGAGGCACCCGATCGCCCGGCTTGGATCGAGCAGGAGAAGGAGATCCGGAAGGACAAGCACAGGATGCTGGTGAGGGGCCTGGGCGAGGATTGCCATTGCGGAAATCAGCACCTCGACAGGCCGGACGGGAGAGGCAAGAATGTGTTCTACTGCTCCAGCGCCAAGTGCGACGAGGCTTTCTGTGAATTCAGCGTCCGAAATCACGCTCCAAGCCCGCCGGAGAGTGATTCCGCTCCCATCACATCTTCTTGCTCGACGAGGAGAAGACTCCACCGGAAATTCGCTGCGCGTGTGAATGCTTCGGCATTCCAGCGGTGAGTCATTCGATTTGGCGTGATCTGTGCTTGAAATTGGTGCTCGTCTTGTCCACAGATGTATTGAAGATGCGATCGGCGATCCAGCTCTGTGAATCCATCGATTTCTTGCAATTGCAATAAAAGAACCTTTCAACTAGGGTTTTGCGCTCTGTTCTTCGCGTCGTGATGGCAGGGATGATGGTGGGGGTGATGGCGATCGACGGCGTCGACGCGAAACTGCTCTTGGCGGAGGCCTCTGATCTCGTCGCGCTTCCAGGTATCGCATTCTTGTCGCGATCGATCTCGTGCATTTGCCGCGCGCCCTTCCCGAGAGCTCTGTGTCGGATTTCCTCTCGAAATATCCGTTTCCGGTTCTCTCCAGGTAAGATTTCTGGATCTTTCTTTGTGGGATCGAATGCGATTGAATTTCGTCTTCTTGGACAGGGTTCTATTCACCGCAGGAACTCCAGCGCTTGTGAGAGTAATGCTGTCGAGAAGGTCGTTTGGACACAGCATGCTTATGAAAATCGTCGAAGCTCCTTCGTGCTACGATTTTAATTTTCTCTGTTTGTTTTTTGTGTGTGTTAGCCTTATGCAAATGCTGGTTTAAACGCAGCATCTCCACAAGTTCGTCGTCTCGCATGCTCCATGTTCGTGAGTAGCAACTTATGTTTTCACGTTTCGTATTGCTATCTAAGTTTTTCCTTCTTGGATACCTGCCTAAGTGTCTAGAGGATGGCGATTCAAGTTCTGTGCAAACAGCAACAGATATGTGACGAGTAAACAAGCATACTATGTGTGTGAATGACGCTCACGTTTGCTGGATTTGTTGCAGGGAGTCGAGCGTGGCAAAAGACGCCATTGAGAAGTTAGCAAAGTCAAGCGCTGGACCTGTACGTAGTTCTCGTTAGCTCTCTGGACATAGATCATCTTTGGTTTCTCCTGATCCGTTCGTTTTCCTGCAGGTTCAAATCTGAGCGTTATCTCTGGCAGCTCGATTCTTCGGACTGTCGGATGTAGAAAAACATTTACTTCAAAGAATGTTATTGCAGGTGTATAGGCTCCTCGATTGTCGCACTGGCTTCCAGAGAGTGGTGTCTGCTGGAAGTCAGCTCCAACGACGGCGTCATCGACGAAAAAGGTAATTACTCTCTCTGTCTCTCTACGGGATTCAGACGCACAGGTATCGAATGAAGACACGCTTGCTGTGCTGCTCTGGCCACCGGATTGAGGCAGCCATCCTGCTAGTGCGTGGTGATACACAGGAAAAGGTTTACTTTTTTTTTTCAGTTGATCCTTTCTCTTCTTTCTCAGCTCGCGTATGTCTCTTATAGCAGTGCCTTCTATCAAGGTTTGTGGTTTTCCAGCCTAAGTTCTTCACTCGCGCACATTCTCCGGGGGTACGTGTTTTTGTTTTTTTTTTTGTTTTTTTTTCGTTCTTAGGACAGAAGAGCTCAAGAGGATCATGGCTCAGGAAGTTCGCGGAGGCAGTAAGAAACAACTTTCAGCAAACATCACAGGCGGCAATAGTCCAAGGATTTAGTTCTAGATATATAGTTTCAATCAAATTAAAATTCTGTAAAATTCTGTTCAAATTGTGTGCTAGTAAGAAGTAAGATATTGAATTTTAAAGATTTCTACACTGGCTGCAAGAAATAAAAATGTGCACGGATGTACAACTGGCCAAGCGTACATGGTGGGTGTTACCAGTGGAATGGAGTGAGAGGGCATGCGGCACGGAGTGAGGAGAAGGATACCATACATGGTTTTTGGCGATGTACCTAAATCTCATACTAAGAAGTATCTTTTCTTTCTAAATCACATGATTTTGCTCATCTAGATTTAAGACACAAGCAACTTTCACTAATTTATGTCTTTAATACATAAATTACACAGGACAAGTTCTTAATCACAGCGCTTGAGCATTTTATTGGGAATAAGCGTCCCATAGAGCAGGCAACAGAATTTCTGATTGACTTTTTTGAAAAGATATGCACCTCAAGTACAATCAGTCGTTCTCAGACCCAAACATCTGATGATACAGTATCACCTCTAGCTCCTTGAGTGCTGCAACATTTCGAGGCTTGGTTTTGATTTACCATCCTATGTCCACTCTACTTAACGTTAACAGTCCATATCTTAGCCTTGTGAAGTTTGGGTTAGCCTGGCTAAGCAGTGGAAATAGTGTTGCATTGGAGGATTTGGATAAATTCTCTGCAAAGCAGGATAAAGACACTTGGACCAAACTTGAAAAACCTGCCATCTTTCGAGCTCTTTTTCATTACTTTTGGAGTCAGTGAAGAGTATTTGATACAATAACAACAACAGCTATTTCAAGTCATGAGGACGCACGAAGGGCATCATCTGACCATCCTGATAAGCAGCAGTTTAACGCCAAGGGCCAAGGCAGCAACATGACAGTCGGTCTAGAGTTTGAAAGGCAGGTGGCCATGGGTCTTACGGAAAGGCTCCTGCAGATTTTGTTTCTGATCGCTTTCTTCAGAATGACAGGCGCAACAGCACTTTTCAAGTCCCTGCAATGTATTTTGACGTTTCAAATGTGGTGAAACCACGTGTTGCCACAGAAGTTGTGACATATACACTTGAGAAGTATCTCAACGACTCAGCCTCTACTCCCACACTCTCACCGTACTGTGAATGTAGCGTTTGCCACTAGCCCTGTGCTCTAAAGACCCATCCCTGACTCTCTCTATCATCGCGGAGCTTTCCCAAAGAGATGGAATCCATCCAACGATCATCAGCCACTGGACGATCTGGCTCCTCCTCCGCGCGGATAATCTCCACTGTCTTGTCCAGGAATTCCTGGAGCTGATCTTGGAGGCGATGATCGTTGGCAGGTCCTCTTCTACCTGGCTCTCGATTCTACGCCTAGCAGTGGGTGGAGTGAGAGAGCTATGATCGCTGCGCAGCCGCTTCTCTTCCTCTTCCTCCTCCTCCTCTTCGCTCGATTGTTGCATCGATCGCTTCTCATCTCCAAAACCGGAAGAATGACCTCGCGGCCGATCTAGACGAGCTAGCTCCGCTTCTCCAGCGCTCCGGTAAAGCATGGAGGATGACAATATTTCGATGTTTTTGGTGTTTGAAAGAGTCGTGGCTACTGTCGACCCTTCCCGACTGCGCAGCTTCTTCTGCCAGGGCAGGCACTGGATTCGCGACCGCGGCAGCGTCATGGTGCCGGCGACGAGACAATCCCAGGTTTTCTAGCTCCTCGAGTTCCAAGGGAAGCCGCAGGGAAAGAATGTTAGCCTCCAGCTCTATGGACAAATCGAGAAGTATGCTGGTGAAAGAATTCGATGAGTTGCCTCGTTTTCATGCTTCTTTTGTGGACTCTGCGATGAAAACACAAGGAACTCTTGGACGCTGGCAGGAAATCCAAGTAAGCTCTATCTGTAAGCACTGCTGATTTTGTTTTCCTTCTTGAGGGAGCATGGATTCTAGGACCGAGGAAAGGAGATCAGTTGTCCATTTTGTGGGTGGTGTTTTTGTTGGAGCTGCTCCACAAATACATGTATCGCTTGTTTCTGGAACGCCTTGCAGAGAGGTGAGAGTTTTGTATTGTATAGAATGATTTTAACTCTCTTCTTATGCAAAGGATTCTTGATCATAGCAATGCCACTCAGGAGTGGTTTCAACCACTTTGAAAATTGCTGCTTTAATTTCTGATAAGGTTAAGGGAATAAGATTAATTTAAGCAAGTTAGATTTTTGTTCTCCACAAATTTTAGATATTTTGATGTGTTTTAATTAAAATCACTAAAATAATTTTTTGGAAGTATCATCCGGATAGAATAGTTCAAAACAATAATGTTAAATTAATATATATGTGATAGGGGTGTAAAATTTTATTTTATTTTTATGCTTATTGCTATATTATTTATAACTTGTTGTATAGAACTTTCTTCAAGAAGAACAAAAGAAAATATAACTAAGAAGGGTTTGAAAAGTAATTTTGCTTCTTTTATTATAAAAAATACATGAGAAAAAAATTATTTAGAGAATTTTGAAATACTTGGTGAAAGATAAATATTGATATTATTGAGTTGAGATTATATATGTTATTAAAAAATATTATAATTTTTTAAAATATTTTTTAAATATTAAAGTGACAATACAGAGGAAAAATATAAAAACTCTTACACAAGTTTATATCTTTGGGATCAATTCTGTACAATGGTTTAGCTTTTTTACAATATTTCATTTTGAATTCTAATTAAAAATTTATTTATGTTTTATATAAATGTGTGAATGTTCAGGATATAGGAATAAGTATATTAATTGGGGTTTAGACCCTGCTTATATACAAGAATGGATGGACTAGATT